ACCATTTCAATGTGACTTTAATCACAATATAACTTAAATCATATCTATTCATTCCTCCATCTTCAAAAAAATTTTGAATAGGCAATCCTTTCAAATAGTTCAAAATTCGAAATATGAAAAGGTGCAGAGTAAAGTCTCTCTCCCACCTGCATCCCATATCTACTCTTTTCCCCCACCTCTATCATAAGTAATTATTACTAGCTTTTCATGTATCCTTCCATAATTTCTTAATGAATCTACAAAGATATATCTATATCTATCTATCTATTCTAATCCCCCTTTTACACAAAATGTAACATGCTGTACACATTGCTCTCTATGTTGAATTATTTTTCTTAACAGTATATTTAGCCTTATTAGATCAGTACTTATAGAGCACAGAGAGACTCCTGTCATGCAGCCAGTAGGGAAAGGGATGAGAGATTGAAACTGGGCACTAGGCCTACCTGTGTGGCTAGGACCGGTCCCAGGGTGGGGTGGGTAAAATGATGTCAAGATCTGAGGGATGATGAAAGCAGAGATTTGGGACAAGGTAGGTCTAAGGGGCCAGCAGTCCCTAATCACACACCAGATGACACATGCAAGTGTTAAGACGAAGTGCCAAGAGGAGTGTGGAATGCAGAGTTGGAACAGATGGATTATACTCTTAAGTCCTTCAAGGAAGTCACTATCGGGAAGGGCTAACCTTAGTAATTAAATGCCTCCGTCTCAGGATTAGGGCTTGGGGGTCGGAACTTGGATTTCGAAGGTCTTACTACTTGCAGGATAATTTCAGAAGAGTCCTTGGTGAGATCAGCAACATGGGTGATCTGAGACAAAATGTAGGAGCCCAGCAACCAATGTTCATGTACTGTGTCCCAGGCCAACCCAACACTGGGCTGCATGGGATGGGGCAGGGCGGGTGGACAAGTCTGAGCCCTCTTAAGTACTTCATATTTTGAACTTAGTCCAACCGAAGAAATGAGGTAAGCCTGGGGATTGGGCATCCAGAGGAAAACCAGTGGGCCCATGTGGAGCAGCTAGAGAGAGAGAAAGCAGAAGTGATAGGGTTGGGAGGAGAAACGGATGTCACCTCTCAGAGTGTTCAACCACCTGAGAAACATGGAAATGAACGTGTTAGGAAATGTTCTGTCCTCTCTGCTACCTCGACAAATGCTTGTTGAATTGAATTGTTATCCTTATTGACTGAACTAGAATAACCAGGCTGGAAGCTGGACAACACTCCACCTTGACAATTACAAGATTAATTGGGCGATGAAAAAGCTGTCAAAAGCAACTGTGGTAGAACCATCTCTGAGATACTTGAGACTAAAGCAGATACCTGTCTTGGATGATTTGAGAGCATCCCAATCTCAAGAGTGGGATGAGACCTTCACAGATATCTCCTGAATGATGAGGCAGAGAAGCATTAACAAGAATCAAAATCTGTACACATGAGTTCTGAAGAAGCAGCACTGACTTGGCAAAATTCTTTCTCCTCTACAGATTATAGCAACTTTGGTTTGGGGGTGTGGGGCTTATTTTTTCTTTTAAAAAGTACACATACACACACTTATACACATGCACATGCAAACACACTTACAGGCAATGGGAATTAGAGGCTTTATCCAAGTCAAGAATGAAAAAATCCAAACGGTTAAAGCAAAATAATTCTTTTCTTTTGCTTGAATTAATCAAACAATTGCTGTGCCCACTTATTCCTTTTTACTTGTTTGAACTTGGCTCCAGAAGGATTGAAAATGTGACAATTTTACTTATCACTATTGTCAGATACAATTTTCTAGATCAAAATAAGTGATTAGAATTGAAGGGAAATTAAAAGATTTTCGTACTAGAAATCACTGAAATTCTCATTAAGGTAATTACTCTCTTTGAAGATGCTAATTTTAATTAACAGTACTTTGCTCAGTATTCTTATTCTATTTTTTTTTTAAAGAAATGCTTTAATTAATAAAGGGTGTTACTTCATGTTCTGGAAATATCTCTATGTAGTGGAATTAAGACATTTTCACTTAAAAAATGAATTCAGTAGTAAATATAATAAGTATATAATACAGCAAAACATATTAATCTACAATGTTAATCCTTTCTTACATGCAAAGAAAGAATTATTCAATATAATTATCACATATGATATATGTTTTCACTCAATGATACCACTTCCTTATGCTTTTCTCTCATATTAAAAGTCTGTTACAAATATAAATATTTACATAAATATATCTTCTACTCTAAAGCTGACTGAAGGTTTTATGCAGCCGTTTAAAGGAAAAATTGTTTGGTATAAATAAATATAATCCCTGATGATGTTTCTCATCTAAGATTTAAATTCTAGTAATATTCTCCTTTGATTTGTAGTTGCGCTTTTTTTTCCTAGTTGACGTATACATGCATTTGAGAGGCAATACCAGCTTTATAATTATAAATCCCTATTTCCGTTTATACAAGCTGGAAGAACAATGTCTTCTTTTAATTGAAGGATTCAGTACAGTATTGTCAGCTCTAAAGAATGTCTAAGGAATGTTAATAGCATGTTAAATAAGTAAACACAGTAACACAGAGCGTATGGAACAAATATAGAGAATGAATAAATCCTGGTTGTTTGGGGGAAGGCACATGGCTTCACTTCAATGAAAATAAAAAATTGAAACATTTATCTGAGTAAATAGATATAATTTAGAGGGCTAGATCAAGTCAGGTATCTTAAGAAGAACTGATGGCCTTCTGCCTGGGAAAGGCGCCAAGGGTGGCCCTGATACAACTGCCTAGTAAATCTGCTGAATCCTGCAGGAAATGACCAGGCTTGCTGCCGAGAGTGGATTAAGAGAAGAGTCCTTTGGAAGGTATGGGAGGCGCCCTGGCATGCTGGCACTCACAGTGGGTACGAACTACCCAGAATCTACATGGAGTTAGCTTCTGTTTCCCAGTACTACTGGCCAGGCTGGTGGTGTGGGGCTGTCCTGCACTTCTGAGAATGGTCTGGTTACTCCTCTCAGCCATGATCTCAAGAGACATAAAGTTGAGAACACATCAGTAGGCAAGAGAACGTCTGTTCCATGCCTCTTCCTTTCTCCCAGCCCTAGTAGAATATGCAGATGAGAAAGATCCAGAGAGCTAGAGCCCAGAGCAAGCAGGAGGAAGAAAGAGGGATGATGGAGGCGGGGAGCGGGAGAGGGAGAAACAGGCAGATCCAGAAGTGGACCCGGGAGCCAGTTCTTCCTGATGTGGACGTTTGACCATCTCTGAGCGGGAGGGTGTGGTACAGGTAGAGAGTATAGGCAGTACCTGGCTGACTCCATTTCAGGCAACACGTGGAGACAGTGTAGCCAGAAGGACATTTTGCCTCTGCTTGCTCCTTTCGTCCAGTTCCTACCCTGCTTCTATCTGCCCTGGCTCCCTTCCTACACTGGGTTCCCAGTTCATCCGTTTCTGGTCCCAAGCCTCTGCCTTCCCCAGGTGTACCACCGACTGGCCTCTTTCTCCCTGCCAGCCTTCATGGGACTGAGCTCTCTGGCTTGGCCTTGGGGCCTCTCCCATGAGCTGCCTGGTGCTCAGGGCTCCTTGACTGCAGCCTGGGACAGCAAGCAAGGGTTGAGAGAGCATGTCTAGATGGGATAAGGGTACTAGGAAGAAGACACGGCTATTGCTGAACTGCAGACCAAGGGAGGGGGCACTGCAGACCCTTCACCGCCATCCTTCTCAGGGAATTTACTTTTTGCCGCAACTTTGAATGCTGCCACCAATTGTTTCCTGGACTTCAGTAAACATCATAGGATAGGTAATGGCATGATACTTGCAGAATTATTTTTATTTTAAGTTATTAAAGGAAAAATGTAGAAAACAACTCGAAACTCAGGGCCAGTGACTGGATTTATCAGGTTTTGTTTCCAGTTATAAACTATTTCTTATACAGAAAGAAGAACAAAATGCAAAACCAATTTGAAAGTGAGTATAAATTATAGGAAGCCAGGTTTTAATTTTTTAGTTTAAATCTGATTTTTTAATTTCAACATTTTATAAAATTTAATTTTATATTTCTGGTACTCTGATTGATATTATGCTACTTTGAGCTAGAAAGCATTTTCTGTTGAATTTCCCTACCTACTTTTGTCATTTTCTAATAAAATATGAGTTTATAATCGCATCATGTCCTTTTTTCTTACTGCTTTCCACCAGTAAGGATATTTTTTCATTTTAATTTTTAATTGTGGTAGAATACACATAACATACAATTTGCCATCTTAACCATTTTATTTTAAGTATTTGGCTCAGTAGTCCTAAATACATTCACGTTGCTGTGCATCCAATCTCCAAAATTTTTCATCTTGCACTAAGTAATTTTTTCACTTTTAATATATAGCATTACTAAAGCAAATTCCTTTGGGAGGGGGATTTCTTTCATGACAAAATATCTTTCATTACTAACCCTCAGTGATCGTATAAGAAGTTGTAACAAGAAATGTATTATATAACCTTCAAAGCCTGGCAGCTAAACCAGCTCTCACACTGTGACTCAAGACTTTATTCTACTTTGTTGCCTGCAGGCAAGGACAGAAGCCATGTCTTTTCATGGGTGAAAGGATGCAGTTAACATGCATACACGTTACCTCCCACTTTGGGGAAAACTTTTCAAGGCAATATAGTTAAGTCAGAACTTTCTGTGCAAACATCTTGATATTAAGATGTAACTACCGATAGAATGGTAACAACTCTAAATGCCTTACAGTAGGAAGTAATAAAAATGCCTTTTATAGGAATGAATCACTATTTCCAAATATTGACGTCATTTTATGTTGTATACCTTTGAGTTAAAGGTATACAAAGGGAAAAAGGCAGGCAAAAGGCACCCAGGACAACGAGGTAGAACATCTGAAGGCAGCAAAGAGCAAAGATTCAAACTTATCCCTTGATCCTTATTTATTATCTTGGTGCGTTGATAAATAATGACCTTTTTACCATCTACGTTCTTTTCAAGTATGTGTTTTTCAATCAGACAGGGGTTATTTTTCACTTTTTAATTCATTGAAGTGTTTAGTCCTGGGAGCCAAATACTGGAAATGAAGCATTACCTTTTTAAACATTCCAGACTCTGTAGGTAAAGGACCAGGCACCTCACAGGCAGTGTGAAAGAGCCGGGACTCCCCGCAGTGCAGTGTAAATTCTTGGCGCTCTCCAGCCACATGGCCTCCATCCACTACCTCCAAAGCTCTGTAAAGAGTGGAAACAACAACTTACCAAGGATGCTGGAAAATCAAGAAGCCCAAAGGCACACTTCCCTGTGTATATTTCCAATCAACCAAAATAATGAATCATTCTTCAAAGCCTACACAGGATTGCAGATAACTTGGTACTCTCATAACACATTTATAAACAGAATTCTTTTAAACCCTGTGCAGAAAACAAATTGAGATAGATGGGTAAATAGGTAAATTGCTAGATGGTTAGATTTTGACATGAAAGCAATACAATTTCATTTTATATTTGTATGGTTGCTCTGCTGTCATTGCTCTTAAGAAAAAAAAAAAAAAAGACATTTGTATGTTTCCTGAACATTGGAAATAAAGTGGAAACTGACTCCCAGTTAGGGGAGGAATCTAGGCTATGCCAGGCAAAGGAAACTGTTCCCAGGATCATAATATTTATTAGATTTAAAAGGAATGCAAACCAACGAAGGCAGAGAGTTTTAGCAGACACTGGTGGTTGCCTAGCCCAAAACCATTTCCTTTATCTAAACCCCCAGCCTAACTGCCACACCCCTAACACACATTTTCTTTGCTAATAACCCTGATTTTGTTCCGATATCCATGTGCTTCAGAGGAAGCTGCTTCCTGCCCTGATAATTAATCACGATTGGTCTAATCCTGGTGTCCCATTCCCCTTGCCAGTAACTGACTCAGACATATGCCCATACATATCTGTCTTGCTGATATCGCCACACTGATTTAGGTCTACCTGACCCTTAAAGTGTTTGTACTTTGCCCTACTTATCTGATGCAACTCTGGCCACTGATATGAGAGAGACATCTGCTGAAGGAATCTGGAGAAGGTCTTTCTCTTAAAAGAAGGTTTACAGAAAGCAATAGTTCTTCCCTGAAAGCCAGTGTCATGACCGCATGTGATGAATGTGACAGCCATCCTGGGACCAGAAGTGGCCTTAGCCTATGGAGAACAGATGGAGGAGAATGCAGGGCAGAAATATGAGAGCAACCTGAGTCTTCAAATACATTGTAGAGTAGCTGAATTAACCAACCCTAGACCTGCCCTAGCTCTAGAGTTCTTGTTATGTTGCATAACAAATGTCCTATTCTTTAAGCCACGTGTTCTCTATTACCTGTAGTTGAGCAGCGTTATAACTGATACAAGGGTTAATATATTTCTTTTTTAAAAAACGTATTTATTTTTGGCTGCATTGGGTCTTCGTTGCTGCGCACGGGCTTTCTCTAGTTGTGGCGAGCAGGGGCTACTCTTCATTGTAGTGCATGGGTTTCTCATTGCAGTGGCTTCTCTTGTGGAGCATGGGCTCCAGGCATGCAGGCTTCAGTAGTTGTTGCACGCGGGCTCTAGAACACAGGCTCAGTAGTTATGGCGCACGGGCTTAGTTGCTCCGTGGCATGTGGGATCTGCCCGGACCAGGAATAGAACCTGAGTCCCTTGCATTGGCAGGTGGATTCTTAACCACTGAGCCACCAGGGAAGTCCAGGTTGATATATTTCTTAAGCATATAATTAAGGCTGAGAAATTAAGGCTGTATGGGAGTAATTTGAAGAAATTCATCTTGTACCTCTTTGTTTTAGAAAACATTATTCTTTGTGTTATAGAAAATGTGAAGATATATTAGCAGCAACAATTTCTTTTTGTCTTCTCCATGGGAACTGAAATAAAAATAATTTCTTTAGCCCAGTCACAATTTCTCTCTGCATAAGTAACCACCCTGAACTGTTTCCTTCTTGCAACATTTACGTCATATATAAGGACTCAGAAAAAAAACATTTCTACCCTCTGAAAGAAAGCACTGAAGTTCACCTTTGAGGAAACTGTCTCCTTAGGAATTACAGACGGCATGTATAAAGGGATAGAAAAACACACCTAGCTCCAGAGAATCACGTAACAACTGAAAAGTATCTTAGAGTTGAGAAGGTGTTAAAGACTTAACCTCGCTTGTATGTCTGCATCAAGACTTATTTTTACTAATTGGTCCACTGATCCTAAACCACAGTCCTTGTCCTTCTTCTGCTCACAAATAAGCCAAGAAGAGCAGCAGGCAAGAGAAGACCACTAGGACTACAATGGGGAAGAACAAATCTGACTCCATATTGGATCTATTCCTTTTACTTTAACTTTTGTATTCTATTGCTTTTGTTACAAGTTCATCACTAAAGAGACATTGCCTATAGTTTAAAGTATACATAATGGCCCGTATCTGGGAACCCTGCCTCCCAAGCCTGAGGTGTAAGCTAAAATACCTTTGTTTAAGTTCACAGGAAACATCCTCACCAGGCCCACCTGTAAATGGCCGCAGGAAAGAAGAAATTAACACACCCCCTCCAGAGTCTGGCTGGGACCAGGAAATATTTGCAACAGCTTTATCCCGTTTTTAACTTTACCTCCTCTCCTCCCACTCTTTGTTCTATAAAAGAAACTAGCATCCAAACCCAGGCAAGATGGTTCTTTGGGACCTTGGTCCACCATCTTCTCCATCTGCTGGTTTTCCAAATAAAATCGTATTCCTTGCGTCAACACCTCGTTTCTCGATTTATTGGTATATTGTGAGGTGAGCAGTACAAGCTTGGACTCAGGACAGAAAATGGATTCCGACCACTGCAGTTTTATAAATTGTAAAAGTAACAAGAAATGTACAGAAAGTCTGCCACTTTTAGTATTTTTTCTTTTTGAAGAAAAAAATATATGCCATTGAATGGATCTAGTGATGCAGTGGTAAACCCGAACTACACGTGCTTCCTAAGCTTTATATTGTTGGAGGTGGGCAGAGTTCCAAAACGGAGTTCTCCCTTCCTGCTAGATACTTATGTACTGTGTGATGAAAAGCTGGCAATGGTGCTCTTTTTTCTAAAGTTTTCTTGTGATCCAATCCCTGCCTATAGTATAGGATTCTTTTGCCTGCAAGTAACAGAAATTCCAACTCACAGAAGCCTAATCAAACACGAAGTTTATCACTGCATATAAACGAGAAGGGTGGACTGAGTTGGTTTAATCGGTTTATTCAGTTGCTGCTGAATTGAGTGGCTGCTACACTTCTGGTCATTACATATAGACATGGTAGATACGATAATTCCAAGGGGTGAAAAGGCTTTCTTTTCCTGTGTCTCTCTCTCAGAAGTAAGGAAGTCTTGGGAGTTTGGGATTGACACGTACACACTGCTATATTTAAAAAGGATAACCAGCAAGGACCCACTGCGTAGCACAGGGGACTCTGCTCAATGTTATGTGGCAGCCTGGATGGAAGGGGAGTCTGGGGGAGAATGGATACCTGTATATGTACGGCTGAGTCACTTTGCTGTGCACCTGAAACTATCACAGCATTGCTAATTGGCTATGCTCCAATGTAAAAAATATATATGTGTGTCTGTGTGTGTATATACATATACATATACATATATATATATATATAAAGAAGTAAGGAAGTCTTCCCTAGAAACCACCTAGCAGACTTCTCTATGTGTCTCATGCCTACACCAAAACAATCACTGGACCTACCCCCTTGAGGCTGGGGCCTGAAGCACATCACCATGCAGAGAGTGGGCACCAGAACAAGCTGGTATTCTATTAGGAAGAGAGGAATGGGGGGGAGTGGACATGGATGTTGGTGTGTGTCACCTCACCTCCCTGTCTGACAGCACGTTCCCCACACCTACTACACTGTTGGTAGACGTGGAGTCGATATATACTCATGGTTGAATTTGAGTTACCAAAGCAGAAACGTTCATGACTCTGGCCTCATTGCATGTTGAACCCAGGCAGTGTACTTGTCCTCCTGATTTGGGGATAAACTAACAAGACTTAGCCTGCTATCCAAAGGTCAATTCTATATGCTTTGGGTCATGATCTCAGAAGGCAGATTTAGCTTCTCAGCGGTCAGAGGAAGGGGATGACCCTCACAGGTAGTCCAGGCAAGGTCCTTGCTTCATCTGCAATTCCCAAGCCAGGAATTGCCGAGTTTGTGCTACAGCCAGTGACCTCTGACCTCCCTTGGAGGAGAGAGGGATGAGGGGTTGGCTGAATTCCTTTCCTTCCAGATCCAGATCCAAGCAGTCCTGCTGAGCACCTGGTCACAGGTGTCATTATTTCAAAGTTGGCTCCAGGACTCGGTTGGGAGGTGAAGAAAGGCCACGGGATGTGTGGGCTGAGAGGGCTTCACAAGCCAGGTTCAGCTTTAGGAGCTTCTCCCCGCAGACGCTGAGGCCACCCTGTGAGCATTTTCTAGTTCCTCTAATGTCAGACACAGAACTTCTACTCATGGCAAACGTATTACACAAGTGTGTCTCCTGAAACACAACCTTTGCGAAACATGACACAGATATAATACACCCAGAATCATGCTGGAGGGACCCCCAGGCCCTACATTAACTTTGAAATAATATCTAGCTTTCATTCTTTCAGCAAGCATTTTTACATTTCCTGCCACGTGTCATATATCCAAGGACACAAAGGTGAAGAAACCCACTCCAAGCCCTCAGGATATCAAGGTCTAATAGACATAGGAGCGCATCGCGTGGACAAAATATTTTAATTGTGAATAATAGTCACAGATGGAGCTAGACATAGGTAAGTCCCCCTAGCTTAAAAGAAAATCTTAGCGTTTGCAACAGGAAAGACCAATTGGAAAGTTCATTTTTCTTTTCCAAAGGGTACATTTCAGTTTAACTCCTGATGGGCTGTTGGTAGTCTTAAGAAAGACTAAGCATAGCCCCCTGGCGAGAAATTTAAGATTTATAAATGGAAGTAGACTTTCCCTTCTGAATAGTCACTACCGGTCTCTTATTAAGCACAACACTTCTGGGGTTAAAAAATAAGACAGAATAAAATCAAATCCTCAAACACTGCCATACCGGTCTGGAGTTTTAGCAGAGGATAATTTACTAATTTGCTAATTGTTTTTTTCTTTTTCTTTTTTTTTTTTTTTTTTTTGCGGTACGGGGGCCCCTCACTGTTGTGGCCTCTCCCGTTGCGGAGCACAGGCTCCGGACGCG